CAACTGTACACTCGCAGGATTGGTTTGCTTGTCCAGACATACAACTGGAATGCAAAGAAAAGGCAGCATTCCTTATCTCGATACTTCATCAGGGTCACAATATTGAAACTATAAAAATTAGATTGTCAGCCAAATAAGTAAGATATTTAGAAGAAGAGGATACAAACTGCAGCCTGAACTTTTCTTTCATAGGAGGTTTCCAAAGCCAATCATAAGAAGGGTAAAATGAGGGTAAAATAAATTATCTATTCAGTATGTGTTTCTGCTGTATGTTAAATCTGCTTGTGTTGAAGTTGCCATGTAATAAAGCCCTACAAAACCTAGTCACGGTTAGGCCCCAGTTACAGAATCTGCTTTGCTCAGCAGGGGATCTGTCCATTGATCCCCTGCTGATCAGGCAGAGTGGGCAGATGACAGGTCCATGTCCACTCAGTTTATGTAGAACGGACAGAACTCTGATCTATGGGCAACCGGGTGTAAATGGACAGCTCTCCAATTTGATCTGTCTTAACGAGGATAATGAATCCCCTTCAGTTTGTTTTTAGTGGCCCAGATTCGAGATAGGCAGGTGTAATAGGACACAAGTCTGTTTACATCCACTGGTCCATGGAGCCGAATAGACCATTGGACAATAGATCAGGTCCACCTGGAAAACTGACAGGCAGACCTGATCGGATTGGTCATGTGAAAGAGGCAAAAAAAAACATTTTAGGGTAAATTTCAGCAGTACCTGCACATTATCCACATGTTCAATCTCTGTATAGGCACTGCGAGTACAGAAAAACACTTGTTGGTTTGCTGGAAATCCAGAGAGCTCCTGGCAACACTGCCGCTGTTCCATTAAGATCACAAGCAGTGTTGTTAGCCCTGCTTGAGTCCTCCCTGCTAAACTACAGAACACTTCCCACTCATCTCCATAAAGGGGTGAGGTGTTCTGTAATCCAGCAGAGGAAAACTCCGGCTAGGAACACTGCTGATTTCATAGCAGCAGAGGCAGTGTTGCCAGCTCACTACAAGAAGTAGCTGGAATTCTGTCAGGATCAGTCAGTATTTTTTTTGTACTTGCAGCTTTCCTAGCAAAACACATATTGCAGAAATGTACTGAATATGTTTTTCATTTTGCCTAGATATATATTTTAAAGATCACAGACATGTACAGTAATGAGAAATCAGTTTTGAGAATTGCTGACTTGTCTGCCTATACTGCAGGGGGTTGATTAGTAAACTTTATATTGGGAATATTTGACAACTGGCAATATTGTTCCCTCTGAGAATAACACAGAGCGTGCTCTATTTTATCTACCAAATAAAGGATCTGACTGTTAGATCAGTCTGTTCTCGGAATAGAATGAGCAGATCCTAAGGGTGTCTGTACTAATTTTTCCATAGTCAAGTCATGGCAAGTTTGGCCTTGAATGGAAAATCTAATGATGTGATCGGCAGTAATGTTCAAATGTTACAAACAAAACTCAGTAGTAAGGCATCATTCATACGGGGTATACTAAACCGTATGTCCACGGAGGGCCTTGTTTATCTGCATGGGGTTCGCAGGTCTTCCTTGCATCCCCATGCAGGCAGTCTCATTGAAGCCAATTGGGATGCCAGTGATAAAATATATATACCTGATAATAGGTTGAAGCTCGAAAGGGTCATGGGAACAGCTCATTTTCAGGATGTGCCACATTTGGATCGATTACTGATCAGTGTACTGGAGGTCCATTTCCAAAACATACAAGACAAAATTTACATTCCAGAATGGCACATTACATAGTTAACACAGTTATACAATAATAAATTCTAAATAAACATACAGGAATGCCCAATTAGAGCCCATTTCACAGTGGAGGTCATTGGGGTATCTTTTCATTTCCTGCAGTGGATAAGACACATGGCTTGGAGGGATTTCCATACAGAGCCTGTTTATTTCTTGCTCCTGGTAAGTGCATAGTGGTGGAGGATTGTCACAGATGTCACTTCACATCGCTGATCACCATTGATTTTCACATCACTGTTGGACACTAAAATTTCCTTTGGACTTTATGATTTAAAATATTGATATTAGTTCACATAATTATTTTTGTTCATATATTAGCGCTGCACCTTTATATGTGGGATGCAGTGGATGCATGGATACAGCTGCTGCTCCCAATCTGACATCTGTGCGGGTGCGAGTGCACAGCCCCGTTTGCACCCAGCACTGTACTTATTTATGTTTAAAGTTCAATATGATAGTCCTGTCAATAACAATTGTCTCTATTGTCATTGTAAGAAAACATACAACAAAATTTACATTCCAAGAATGGCACATTACATAGTTAACACAGTTATACAATAATAAATTCTAAATAAACATAATTATTAATAAAAGCTGTATAAAAGACAGTTGACATATTATTCAAAATAACCGATTACTCTCATAAAGCAATTGATTCAATAGGAGCAGAACTGCCTTATTTAAGTGATAGACAACCAACACACACACAGACATAGGTTCCCACTGAGCTGTTTGGGACCGATACACCTATGTAATTATAGGCTGAAGGCATATCCTCATTTTGGATTCCCAGATCTGCCCCTTGGTGCTCTTGTACTGGTGTGCTGATCTATGCTATCTGATCTGCTAGTACATCTGCAAGATACATTCTGTAATTTATATCTTATGCATGTAATATAGTCTTCTCTCTTGTTAAAATTAGATACATGTGAAAAATTCATACTGCAGGCTACATTGATTTTGTGATCGCTCTTTACAGCAGAGTGCACATTCCCTGCTCTTCTATAGTGTGTGTTAAACTTGAATGTGTCAGAGATGTATTAGCAGTGGGATTCTCTCCAGCTTTAGCTACGCCAAGGCCCTCATACCACTGTGGAATTGCTATAGTTACCAGCTGCCCCTGATCTTTAGGGGCAGTTCTATGTTCTGGAGATTTATCAGTGAAAAATAGTCCTGCTTTTCAGCTCAGCTTAACCCTTTTGTGACGAGGAGGGGTCATCCATTCCTAGATGCACAGGCCAAATTTAGCAGCATCTGTATGTGTCAGTTACTTAGAAATAAACCTCTGTGACTACTTTGCTTACTTAAAAAAATTACTAATTGTTTAAACATTTACAGCTTTTAATTAGTTATATGGAATATGTTGTATTAAATACTTTGGTTTGGATTTTTATTATAAGCTGACAAATGGACAAAAATGTGAAAAAAAACAGCTTATGATAAAATTCTATTTAAAAAAATGAAATAAAAAAAGTTTAAAAATAAAATATAATTTTATTTTTTGCACTGAAAGAGATTTACCCCAGGTTCACATCTGTGCGGGTGGTGCCACTGCGGATCCGCAGGAAAATCCGTGCAGCCGCACATTCAAACCACACACAAAAAAGCCTATGAAAGGTACCAGGGGCATCTAATGGGGCCCCCTACTGACCCCAGGCCCTCGGGGTCAGTCCGCCAGTCCAGTCCGCCAGTCCAGTCCGCCCCTGGCTCTAACATAACTAGTGGCCAGCATGGGTTCCAGTCGCTTGTTCTGCTTGCGGACATATCCTCAGCACTGAGCATCATGCTTGAAAAATGTAATATAGAGATTGTTTGCGGAGGTTTAATAAAGAATGCAATTAGGAACTATTATATGTTCACGGTGTTATAGATATGCATTTTTTAGAAATGCCTTGTTAATTTGTGGTGGTTGCCAACATATTTCTACATGGGGGAAGCCATATGTATCCATTATACAGTGTATGCATGATTTGCTTCCTGCTTAGTAGTATTGCACTGTGCAAGTGTTTCCTCGCTTCCCCTTCTCTTCTCAATGTATGCCTGTAGAATACAACAATAGAATTTCTGTCACAGAAGTCATTAAAAAGATTATCTAAACCTAAAAAGAAACGTAATATATTTCAACTTACTAGTCCTTAGATGTAGCAATAGTAGAATGTTCACGCCCCAATATATAGATTCCCAACATTATTGGGGTTATTCTGTCTGCTGCCCCATTGGAAGTCCAAGCACATTTCAGATTTTGAAAAATCATTAGTCCTTAGATGCTTAGATTTGTTGGTTTAATGCGGATCACTCTTCAGAGACCAAAGCAAATGTGCACAGGCCCTAAGTTCAAACAAAAAGTGAAAAGGTCCGTGTCCGTTTTCCATATTTTTTGGATGGGAGGAAAAAAGATGTAAACGGAGCACATCTGCATTTCCCTGCCCATAAACCTAACATGGGTCCACTAAGCAATGTGAGAAAAACTGAAAGGACACAGACGGCATAAAATTACATTCATTTCCATATGGCTCCAAGTCAGCAGGGGATCTGTTTACGGATCCCCAACTAACTAGAATGGACACCAACCAAAATGTGAAAATTGTTACAATACAATATGAAATGTTTACTTATGTAAAATAGTGTAGAGCTTCCTTTTAAGAATGTGACAAAAATCCTTCCACACTATTCATGTTCTCTTGTCTTGAAAGTATGACTAATTTCAAACCTTTTTTTTTGCTTTGGATAGAATGGAGAAGGATTTGAGTACCTGTCAGGTTTTGTTGCTGTCTACACCCCTGTTAGAGAAATTCGCCCTCTATAATGGGTCTGATTACCATTATCACTGAGAGTGAAAGTGAAAGAAAATTCTAAATTTTGGGTTGTCACCAGAACAGGAATAGAGGGGAGATCTTCCAATGGGGTCACTAGCTCTGGTGACAACCAGGGATTCCCTCACTTTGGAGGGATTGCCTCACTTACAGCTTTGGCTATGGGACAGGAAGTGAAGGGAAATCTCCCCAATGGCACAAAGATGGCAGCATAACCTGACAAGTGTTATAACTCTGCCTTACCCTATTCAAAATTTTAAAAAATGTTTTGGTTTTAGTTTTATTTAAAGTATTAGTTCACCTTTACAGAAAATCTATTAACTCTTCTAATTCTAAAATATATGTGCTAGAGGTCGATTTGAAGAAAAGACAGATATGGTTTGACCAGTTTGCATTCTACTGTTTTGTGACAGATATAGCAAGTCCGAGGAGCTGGGAGAGAGAAGGTCATGGGCTACATGAGAGTACAACCCATCACACAACATTGAACAATGTGACCTGGGGAATGGGAGAAGCCGACAATGATCTGACTTACAGTGAGGTGGAGCACAGACTTGACCTTATTCAGGAGCAGATGAACAGGTAAGGAAAAAGTGAAAATTCTCATATAAGATACTATGGAAGTCTGTTTACATCATATCTTTGTAGTATTACTCATTTGTGTCCATTCTCATCATTTGTGTAGCTAGCAGTAGTTAGTCACATTTAGCTAGACTTGTTCCATAATGTTGAAGGCATTTGTTAGCTTCTCCAAGCCACTTGAGTGTCAGGAAGATACCCCAGCATTTGTATTCATGTGGAATGTGTTGAGGCAGATGTTAATTATCCAAGATCAGGATGGGAGGTGAAAATGTTGTAGAACCACCATTTTCTAATAAATAATACTACCTTTGGTGTCTGCATAGGTATTAATCTTTTGACTCACATGGCTGAAGGTGTGAGTTGTCATTGTTAGAAGTAAAGAAGTGTCTTGGATAAGCTACAAAACATTTTCAACACTATAAAACAAGCCCAGTTGAATGTGATTAAATACCACTAGATATACTCTGAACTGGATAAATGAGAATGTTCATAGACATATCGTCATTTATGTCTTTCCGGAAAATGCATTATTGTTAATATATAATTTCTGCCCCAGTGGAGCTTACATGCTAAACTCTCTGCTCCAGGCATACAAACATGCCACATTAGGAGAATGAATTCCTTTGGTGTAACAATGCATGCAGTCAGCATATACTTTTTTACGCCTGATGTATTTATTCAGTGTTCTAGAATGTCAAACCAAAGAGAATTGACTAGAGGTGAACCAAAGGGAAATTACAGCTTAACTCCAGGCAAACAATGTAATATTCAGTCAAAATACATATATGACAACCGTTTTCCATTCCAAATGATTTCTAGTTTAATGTAGCGAATTGTGCGATCCTGGCACCCCTGTCAGCCAGCATAGCTGAGTCCTGGACCATCCTGCCAACTAGAGGGCAGATAAGGACTACAGTCTGGTTAAGGACAAACCCTACCTTGGGACTGGACAATGAAGGAACAGTAACACCCCGTTGAAGTCATCCCTCTGTTCTGCTCAGTGCAAAGCATTAGAGCCTGGCTCGGTTAGAGCGCTGACCTTTTCTTTCCCTTCCCAATCTAATTGCTGCTGTGTAGGGAATTACAAGAGACCAATATCAAGAAAAGTTCAGATATTTATGATATTTGTAAGCAAAGATATAGATGGTGGATTTGACCAGATAAAAAATATACTTGAATTAGGTTTGTTATATCTGTATAGAGTTCAACTTTTCTCTCCAAACCCAGCTTTGATTGTGCTCCTGAAACCCTCTTGACAGATTAGGTTGGAAGTGTTGATTAAGAATATGAAAACAAGGCTGGGGTATCCAGTATTTGGCATTCGGGGGTTATCTATTTCATGCATGCTACTATCCAAGCCACAGAGTCAACCTTTCCCAGCAGATAGCAGCCTAGAACCAGAATAAATCGTCAGGTTTCCGTAGCAAGGGTCACATCTACAGACTGTATAATTTTCATCTCTGAACTTCCTCTATCCCATAATTTTCTGTAGAAGCTGACATGTATTGTCATGGTGTATTTATAAGATATCAAAACCATTCCGTACAAGCAGTAGCAATACTATGGAAGTTCTAATATCATAAGTCTGTGAAGGTTCTCATTTATCTTGGCCATTATATACAGTCATGGCCCAAAATACTGGCACCCCTACATTTCTGTCAGATAATGCACTACTTCGCCCAGAAAACTGTTGCAATTACAAATGTTTAGGCATTCTCATGTTTATTTCTTTTGTTTGTATTGGTATGACACAAAAAAAGTGGAGAAACAAAAAGCCAAATCTGACACATTCCATGCACAACCCCAAAAATGGACTGGACAAAATTATAGGCACCCTCAATTTAATATTTGGTAGCACACCCCTTGGAAAAAATAACTGAAATCAATTACTTCCTGTAACCATCAATGAGTTTCTTACACCTCTTTACTGGAATTTTGGACCAGTCTTTCACCAACTGCTCCAGGTCTCTCAGATTGGAAGGGTTCCTTTATCCAACTGCAGTTTTGAGATTTCTCCACAGGTGTTCTATGGGACTCATTTCTGGCCATGTCAGTACTCTCCAGCCCTTTGCCTGAAACCATTTCTGGGTGCTGACACTGGGCCCTGCATTGCACCCCAGAATTCTTTGGTAGTCTTTCGATTTCATAATGCACATGGACAAGACATCCAGTGCCTGAAGCAGCAAAGCAACCCCAAAACATCAGTGAACCGCCACCATGTTTCACTGTAGGGACTGCATTCTTTTCTTTAAAGGCCACATTTCTTTTTCTGAAAACAGTAGAATGATGGGCTTTACCAAAAAGCTGTAACTTTGTTTCATCTGTCCATTGAAGGATTTTGGCTTGATCAGGTAAGTTTTGGCAAACTCCAATCTGCCTTTTTTATGTTTCTGTGTCAGCAGTGGGGTCCTCCTTGGTCTCCCACCATAGTATCCCTTTTCATTCAAATGGCGACTTATAGGATGAGCTGACACAGTTGTACCCTGTGCCTAAAGGTCACTAGAATTTGTCTGGAAGTTCATCAAGGTTCTTTATCCACCATTCAGACAATCCTTCATTGCAGTTTTTGATCAATTTTTCTCTTTCATCCAAGTCCAGAGAGATTAGCTACAGTACCATGCGCTGCAAATGTCTTGACAATGTTGCGCACAGTGGACATAGGAACACTAAGATCTCCGGAGATGGACTTGTAACCTTGAGGTTGTCCAAGCTTTTCTCCAATTTTGTTTTCAAATCCTCAGAAAAGTCTTTGCTGCTCTTTCTCTTCTTCATGCTCCATGTGGCACACAGAGACACACAGAAAGGAGTCAATTTTTCACCATTTTAACTGGTTGCCGGTGTGATTTCTATATTGTCAGCACATGTTAATTGATACAGGTGAGTTTACTTACTAAGTACAGAAGCATCACAAACTTTAAATACAATTACGTTTTACAATTTTGAGAAGCTGCCAATAATTTTGTCCAGTCCATTTTTGGGGTTTTGCTTGAAATGTGTCAGATTTGGCTTTTTGTTTCTACATTTTTTCGTGTCATGCCAATACAAACAAAAGACATAAACATGAAAATGCTGAAACATTTTGTAATTGCAACAACTTTCTGAGCGAAGTGATACATTATCTGCCAGAAATGCAGGTGTGCCAATATTTTTGGCTATGATAGTATCTAGTTGTAGTTGGTAACATTCAACTGAACTTGTCCTGTAATGTTGAAGACATTTTGAAGCTGCTTTAAGCCACTTCTTCAGTACCAGTTATCTACAAAAGCCTTTAACATTACAAATCAAGTCCAATTTATTGTGACTAACTACTAATATAAATAATAATAGCATTGTAACCTATTCAGACTTCTCGTTTTTCCAGTAAAACTGTGTCTTGAAATAGAGGGTAAAGTAGAACTAAAGGCAAAACTTTTTTTTTTTTTTCATTTTTGATAGTGTAAGAAAGGGTTATAACCCCAGTAACTCTTCTTTTACATCTATGTTTCATTGGGGAGGTTTTACTTCCTTTCCTGTCCCAAAGCCAAAACAGGAAGTGGGAGCAATTCCCTCCAAAGTGAGAGAATCCTGGGGTGTCACCAGAACTAGTATCCCCATTGGAAGGTTTTCCCTCTATTACTGTTTTGGGGACAACCCAAACTTGGGATTTTCTTTTACTTTCACTTCCGATGATAACAGTAAACCAGACAAAGATATATAGATATATGCTAATTAGAAATTAATTAAAGACTGAAATTAAAGACTGATATATTTATATATATATATATATATATATATTTTAATAATGCTTGACTATGCATACAGCCTATAGCACATGCATGACTTGTCTATGGGCAGTGGGTGGCTAAGATCATAGCAAAATTCTCAGAACATTAGATGACTTGATTAATGTCCTTCAATATAAAATTACTTCAAAATTTATTTAATATTTTGTTTGCTTTTAACATTGAATTTTGGAACAAATGGACTTTCCTGAATGAAAACCAATGGGGTGGATTTACTAACGGCAAATAGACTGTGCACTTTGCAAGTGCAGTTGCTCCAGAGCTTAGTACATGAGCAGAAGCTCTGCTGACTTCCATCATCCAATCATGTGCCAGCAAAAATTCTGTTTTCTATTTTACTTTCCTTGCATGTGATTGGGTATTCTTTGCAAAGTAAAATTTTACCTCGTTGATTAAGCTCTGGGGCAACTGCACTTGCAAAGTGCACAGTCTAGTTGCAGTTTATACATCAACCCCAATGCTAGAACTTTGTTCTTTCAGGAAGAATTTTCTATCCTGCTCCTTCAGATTTTCTCATCACTGCAGTCGAAAACTAAGATGAATTTGACCTCATTAGTGATTAGAAAAACAAATGAACGTTCTTAAAATGAAACATTTCAAACAAACTTCTGCTAGTGTATGATCAGTTCAGTGCACTGTGTAAAGATGGGAATGACAATTTACAGGGAAGATTAAGTCATATTGTCAGGGTGGTAAAATGGGTCAATGTCACCTTAGATTTAATGCCTCAAATGATGATCATTCAAGAGACTGAGCTCCAAATACATTGCTGTATCTTCATTATAAGAAAATAGTTTAATTAATGATCACATTTAAATATTTAGTCCTGTCACTGATCTTTCTGATTTTGTATATCACATAAGAACTACACTATTTAAGTGTGCAAAGTATCAGTTTAAAGGAATGAGCAGTCTTGCAGGGATAGGTAAATCAAAAAGTAAAATTAGGGCTGAAATACCGTTTTTATTTATTTTATTTATTTATTTTTAATGAAAATGCTGCATGGGCTTCCTTGTGGGATGGTTGCTTGAGGTGATTGTAGCCGTATTAGTGCATTTGCGACAGAAACAATTGAGTACTGTCCGTGATACTTTTTTTATTTGCACTAACATACAATTTTGAGGACAAGCTTTCGGGGTCCAAGGTCCAAACAGTACTAACATTTGTGGGATGGTTAAAAGCCTTGACATGGTATTTTTGCCGAAACTGACCTTTAAT